ACACCTTGGGTCCTGGAACTGGCTCTGTTTTGCCTCAGGGATACATGTATGGGCTGCATGAGTTGAGGGCCTTGGGGATACACCCTTGCAAGGGGGTGGGGTTACCTCAGAAGCCCTGTGCAAAATCTCCACAGAGATGCAACCCATAACCTTCTGCTTCTTTTGACCAGCTTGGAGTGAATCTACTAAGCCTTTCCTCTCGCCACATTGCCTGTGCTGCCTCATCTGGTTCCAGGCATGAGACACCAGCTTTAGCTCCTTCTTCTAATGCAAACCAGACAGATAGATATATACATATATATAGGCAGAGAGAGAGAGAGAGAGTCAAATACACACACATTGGAGGCAGAGAGCCAGCAGGGGGTGAGGGGTAGAGGAGGGAGGAAGAAGAGTGTTTAGATGGATTACGAGCAATTTCATCCTCCAAAGGCAAAACTTAATTTAGGGGCATAGGAAACCATTTTGCTCTCAGCATCTGGGCTCAGCAGGGACTCTGGCAGCTCCAGCAGCTTCCAGGGGTCCTGAGGCAGCAGCGGTTCTGGGTAATTTGGGTCTTGTGCAGGTAAAGTAAAAGGAGGCAGGGACAAAGGGAAATGCTGCCAATGTCTCAGGGCTGCTATGGGCTAGGCTATCATTATTACTTGTGTTATGGCTTACTTCCATGTAATTTAATTGGCATCCTTAACTGCTGCCGCCCACTGTGCAGGCAACATTCTTTTTAGAAAGCTCAGCAGGGACGCCAAAGGTGATCAGAAAATGTAGGCAACAAGCCCAGGGGGAAAAGGGATTTGGCAATCACCAGAGGTTAGAATTGCGTTCCATCAGCAGCTTGGATTGATGCCCTCTATTGACAGCAGCTCTTGTTCTGGGCTGTCATTCATGCCTTTGATGCACCGGGAGCAGTGGCGTAGCATGGGGGGTGCAGGGGGGGGGCCGTCCGCACCAGGCGCAATATCGGGGGGGGGCGCGCTCGCACTCGCAGCTCTCTGCCCCTACTAAAATCCACGGGTTAGGGGGCGCAAATTACTTGCCTTGCCCCGGGTGCTGACAACCTGCGCTACGCCACTGACCAGGAGCAGGATTTGAGTGCCCCGGTCTCTCACCCATGCAGATGAGATCCTAGATCCTTACCTAGATCTTGCACATACAGTGTGGTGATTGATCAGGTTCCCATGTAAGGATGCTTCCAGGCGGAGGCTTAATATCATAAATGGATTCTTGTTGGCAATAGTTCCCCTCCCCCTTGGAAAAGGTAAATCTGGATTAAATGGGGGGAGGGAGAGGAATACAGACTGAACGACCACTGATCCCAGGCATGCACATTACCTTGCTCTTACAAAGATGGACACCTTTCCTTTTGCCTGATAAGCATATAACTATGGGCATAGCCAAGGGGGGCAGGGGGGCAGCTGTCCCCACCAAGTAATAAATAAAAACACTAAACTGACCAATCACGTTTCAGATAGCTCAGTTTCACACACATCCAACATCAACCTCCCCCCCCCCATAAATCCTGGCTATGCCCATGCATATAACCCTCACTGCAGTGACCTGACCGTCCTGCAGGGCTTTACTGCAAATACTATTAAACCAATAATTGAATTGGATGCATTTGAGTGAGTTGCTGGGGCTCAGAGAGAGGCCAGGCAGCCGGACTAGAAGCAGTCAAAGTATATCCAAATGTATTCACCAGCCTGTCTTTCTACCAGTGTGTGGTAGTCCTTCTCTCTGCTGCAGACTCCTTTCTCACCTGCCTTTGACAGTCCATAAACATCCTGACACCAGTCTTGGGTGGCCAGGGGAAGTTTCTCACAGGTCTCAGGTGAAGCCCACGTCTTGCCTCCCCACTCATCCTTTGCACAGCATGATTCACAGGGAGATGAAGGAGCCTTTGTGCTGCGGCCAGGGGAGGCTGGTATCAGAGCAGCTCCTGGGAGGTGTTGGGTGTCAGGGACTGCCAAATCCACACAATTCATGCAGGATCACACTCCAGGTGGAGGTGGAGAGGGAATGAAATGGAAAGCTCAGACAGAACACCCCTTCCCATGCAGGCAATTCAAGCAGGAGGTGTGAACAAGGGGGACAAAGGTAGGAAGTCATTACTCTGGGGCAGGGGTTCTCAAACTCCCCCCACCCCACCCCCAGAAAATGGCTGAGGGTCTCTCACTTAATAAACTTCTGTTACTCTACAAATCAAAGCATGTACATAACTCATACTTCAATCATTGTAGTTTGTCCTTTCTAATGTGATGGATGTGCCTGTCTCCGGTGAGAAAGTTCTGTGAAGTCGGGAGTAACGTGTGTCAGCTTTATTTAGCCTCAGGTCAGGTTCAGAAAGTGACATTCAACAGGCAATTTTTAATGGAAAAATTAGTGGACTTCGTGGACCCTAAGCCACAGCAGTGTCAGCCTGTTTGATAATCTGGCCCTGGTCAAGACAGCCTTTGTAAAAAATAATAATTCAAGGCCAAGGGAAGTTATTCTCAAGTGTTCTGCAGTGTTACTGCCCCCACCCCCACCCCCACCAGCTACCGCCGCCTGAGGCAGTTGTCTCACTTTGCCTAATGGTAGGGCTTTTAGCCCAGACCACAACCTTTCCATTGACTACATGAATGCAGTTGGCAGACCACCATGGTTCACAGAGCATGGTTTTATAAACTGTGCTCTAGACAATTTTATTTAGTTAATTTGTTTAATTTAATGCATTTATATCTGGCCTTTCTCCCAAGATGGGATTCAAGGTGGCACCCAAGATTTAGAAGCATCATTATAAAATACAAAAATAAAAATACAGCAGAACACATGGGGAACCAGTAGCAGAATACAGTTTGCTCTGCTAGTATGTAGTCCAGTGATCAGCATTTCCAAAGGCCTGACTGAATAGGGATGTCTTAGCTTGCTGGCAGAAGTATGACAAAGAGGGACCCAACCTAACCTCTTTGGGGAGGGAATTTTGCAATATGGGAGCAGCCACAGAAAAGGCTCTTGTTTCACCACCAACTCTGCTCCTGATGTTGGTTTGAGTGAGAGAAGGTGCTCACCTGAGGATCTTAGTACCCTGGCATGTTCACATAAGGATATATGATATTTCACAGTTTTGGGAATCAGAAGAAAAAGAGGAGCTGGGCATGTTTAGCCTGGAGAAGAGGAGGTTAAGGGGTGATATGATAGCCATGTTCAAATATATAAAAGGATGTCACATAGAAGAGGGAGAAAGGTTGTTTTCTGCTGCTCCAGAGAAGCGGACACGGAGCAATGGATCCAAACTACAAGAAAGAAGATTCCACCTAAACATTAGGAAGAACTTCCTGACAGTAAGAGCTGTTTGACAGTGGAATTTGCTGCCAAGGAGTGTGGTAGAGTCTCCTTCTTTGGAGGTCTTTAAGCAGAGGCTTGACAACCATATGTCAGGAGTGCTCTGATGGTGTTTCCTGCTTGGCAGGGGGTTGGACTCGATGGCCCTTGTGGTCTCTTCCAACTCGATGATTCTATGATTCTAGGGCAGTTCTTTATAACGGGAGATAGCTGACTACCCTAGCAATATTCTTGAAATCCTGCTGGAGATATATTAATGAGTAACAATTAGATTGCTTCCAGATGGTTGATATTTTATGGGAGGGATTCAATTGCATAACCAATAATGCATGCACTAAAATGAACTCTATCACCCTAGCACTTTAAACCCACTGTCTTTTGAAAAGAGGCTTTTTGTAGTTAGGAAAGTAATGGGGAAATTCACTAGAAAGTGTGGAATGAAGAAATGGTTTACAGGGAAGATGCATAAGCACCGCACAAGTAAATCAGGATGAATGTGCATTGTCATATAACCTCCCTGAAAACAAATCAAAATGAATACTCAGTAAAGACTAGACACCTTGTAACCTCCATGGTAGCTTTATGCAAGCAAATCGACTGAATAAGCAGCTTGCCTGGAGGAGCCCTGACTTATTTAACAATACTTTTAGTGTGGCAAATCAACAGGTATATTTGCAATAGTCAGCTGGCATCTGGACTTGGCTCAAGTACCTCCATATCTCCTGCTATGGAAACTGCTGTTGAAAACCTGAGGCCAGTCACTCTCTCAGCTTAACCTATTTTACAGGACTGTTGTTGTGAGGACAACCTTGCATTGTGATGGGTGGAAAGAAGCTAAGAAGCCCACCTTGAACTCCTTAAAGCAAGTGTGATATAAAAAAAATGTGGTATATAGATTCAACCAAGTAGGTGCTTCTCTTAACGTCATCGTTCATCAAAGTCGCTTGGAGTTTTTGCTTGCCTTTGAAGATCGCCAGTAATGAATGCAAGCCTAGCTTTGAGGCAGAGGAGCCCATCTGATAGCCGAGAAGAGTAAAGAACTGGCTGTTGACCAACACACCGGAGGCAGAAGGATGCAATTTCAGGACTCTTTACAGTACACAGAAAAAGATCCTCAAGGCCTTTGAATTCCAGGGCATGAATCCCTTTTGCGCAGCTTGACTCCTCCTCCTCCTCCTCCTCCTCCTCGCTGCCCAACCAGTGAACCATGGAAGAATCTCTCCTTCCTCTCTGCTCCTCCTTTGTCTCTTTCTCTTCCCCCATCGCCCACGGAGGGCCAAAATAAAAGGGCAATGTGTTAAAACTGTCTATGCATTTAACCTGCAGGTTTTTGAAAATGCAAACTGTATCAGCTGGCATGTGTGATAATTATGGGAATTGCAGCAGACGGGAGATTTAACCCTTTCCCCCCTGCCTGATCCTGAAGAAAATCACTCCCCTGAAGCTGATATTTGCCTTGGGAGGGAATCCCCTGCATTTACAGAGAGCAGCATGCCAAGCGCAAAGACGCATTTAACCCCATGTTGAGTTTGGGCCTAACCCACCTCTCTTTCTCCTGCCTGCTCCTGCCTTTCCCTCTCCTTCTTGGCCACATCTTTATCACCTTTCTCCCTCGCCTGCATTTGCATCCTGATGCATCTGTTCTTTGTGGTGGGCCTTTACTTCCACAAGCAGAACCCTGTAGAGCCGTAGCTCAGTGGCAGAGGATCTGCCTGGCATGCAAAAGGTGGCAGGTTCAATCCCCGGTATCTCCAGGGAAAGCTGGGAATGTCCCCTGTCTGAAACCCTGAGAGCCACAGTCAGTCCATATAGATAATACAGGGCAATATCGACAAATAGCTTGACCTGGTATAAGGCATCTACCTATGTTCCTGTGGGAATGCTTCTTCCTATGACTGGGGTTGGGGTGGGAAGCTGGAGGGGCAGTCATTCAAAAACCTAGATGAGGTGCAGTGAATTTGGTGGGAAATTGCAGAGTTCATTATTTTTTATTTGCAGAGTTCATTATGACCTGGTGCTCATGCAACAGCAAGCCTAACTGTGGCCAAACTTTGGCAATCAAGCCAATGCATGGGTTCCTAAAGCAAAGATCACGCCCCCTGCACTCCTCCCAAGTCCTGTTTACTGCTTGTGGTTTACTGTGGTGGTGGGGCACATAAACCATGCAACCAGGTTTTGAAATAAAGATGTGCCAAGCCAGGACATAGTCCTGGGTACGTAGCAGTGACAAGACCAAGGGAGGACTGCAGCAGCCGCAATCTTCACTCCAGGAACCCACTTGTTTGTTTGTTTGTTTGTTTGTTTGTTTGTTTGTTTGCACTAATCCATGGTTTGGCTTAGCATTGCATGCAAACTGGTCTTACAATTACCAGCTGTTTTGGAACACTATTTTCGTTTAATAGAGCTGCAAAGTTCAAGCCAAATCTTGGTTTATCAGATGGAAACCCCTTGCTGATGATATGGATGAGAACGGCATTGAATTCTGTGACCTACTCACAGGACTGGAAGCATGGCTTCCAGCTGTGAGCTTAGAGGATAGAAAATGTCACAGCAATCTTGAACATACTTACTTGACATTGTGACCAGTTTATTTGTGAGTGGTATTTCCAGGCAAGTTTGCTTAAGATTGCAAAATCAAGCAGGTTACTTTCTTGGTCAGCAGCCCAGCAGAGAGATTAAATCTATACCTAAATGGTCATTTCCTCTGCTGCTGGTTGAGCCATTTAATGCTGAAGTATGCAAGAAGCAACAGTGAGGGGAGAGGGAAAGATGCAAAATATTTGCCAATTAATCTGTTATTTGCATTGTGCCACCCATGCTGACTCTCATAACTTATTCCCTGGAGGTGCTGTGCTGTTTGAATTAGTAAAAATTAGCCCAGTTGCTGTGTCAGGCGCCAGAGTATTTGAATCTTCAAACTTGGGGCTTGCCTCCAGACTGTCAGTATTTTGCAGAAGGGAGTCAAGTACATCCCAAGATTTAAGCTTTGTGCAGATAAAGTGGATTAAAGTGTTCTGTCACTCTAGTGCAACAAAACCGCTTTAAAAAAGAATATCAACCAGACTATTTGCAGTTAGGAAAGTGACAGGTAATTGCACTGAAAAGTGCGCAATGAACACATTATCAACGGGAAGGTGTAGAAACAAGCAAATCAGGATAAAGTCTCAGCAAAGACCAGAGATAGTTTAATTTCCTTGTTAACTTTGGACAAGTAAATCAGTATGAATGCTCTGTAAACAGGCTGTCTGGAGGAGTCCTCATACCCCCACCCTGGCACGCACTCAAAATCCCCTGCTGGAAAGTTTCTTGATGGGTTCTCCTTAGGAAATGCTTGGGAACCACCTATGGAGCTTGAGTAAAAGTTCAGATGTCATGTGCTTTGAGGAGGAATGAGTGCAGACGGTTTGAATGAAATAAGCAACCAGTATGCCAAAGTTGGACCGTCACGGTGGGAGGGGGAGGGGGAGCAGAGACACTGATGCACACTTGTGGAGCGAATGATCACTTTCCTGCAACAGCCCTCCGAGAATCAAGAGCCAGGAGGTCTCCCTCTGTGAGAGAGGCCAAAGAGGATGCTCTTCAAAGGCAGGCAGGTGGCTTTTGTGATTTGCGCAGCTCTTCGTCTCGTGGGCTCTGCTCTCTGTTCTTTGCATGCACGCTGCCTGCCGCCCAGAGTACATACGGTATTAATAAGGCACAGAGACAATGGGCTGAAGCTGCTCTATAATGAAGACCAGAGGATCGGACTCAGCTCTGACATATGGAGCGGGATTGGGGTGGAGGCTGTCGCCTTGAATTCTTTTGCAAAGAGTGAAGCATTGTGCATGTAAATCCACTCGGGCTGTTTATCCTGGCTGCTTTGGATATCATTCTCAACAATGGGGCTCTGGGGGGAGAGAAGGCCCTGGCTGCCTTGGCGCAGGAAAAAAGACTCCATGGCGTGCTTATCCAGGATTCCTACTGGTGGCCACAAGAGGGCAGCATTTGCTCACTGGTAAAGCCAAAGAAAGCAGGGATCTGGCAGGAGTTTAATAGAAGTGACTTCATATGCCTGGGCGGATGGTGCTTCCTAGTGCCCCCTTTTGGCCATAACGTGAAAAATCTAAATGCTTTATTATGGGAAGCTCACCGCCATTTTCACCCTGTTCACAAGACCAAACAGGATATACTGAGCACATAGATGAAGGGGGTGAGGAATGGATCACAATGGTGGGTCCCACCCATAGCTGTCAACTTACAAATTTGAAAATAAGGGACCAGCAGCCTTGAAAATAAGGGACCAGCAGCCAAAATAAGGGACCTGCAGCCTCACCTGTTCCAGGCACTCCAGTCTTCCTGTCCTCCTGCAGTCTGGTCAAACTCATGCTGGTAGCTTCGAGAACACTGTCCAACCAACTTTGTAACCAGAGGTTCAACTGACTAGAATCTGAATCACATGCACCACAAGGCCTATGCAGCCTCAACTTAAGATGGCTCCCCGGCCTGGCTTTGCACTGCAAGGTTTGCAGTAGCACGTGCAACAAAATGGCGTCCAGCATTCAAAACCCCCCTCAGCTTGCATTAACTAGCCACACACAAGGCATGCAAGCTCCACCCCCAGTCGTTCTTAGACTTCTTATTGGGTGAGCAACACAGCCAAGCAACACAGTTGGAGCCTCCCTCCTCCCTGGCCGGCAGGGAGGGAGGGAGAGGAGCTGCTTCCTTTGAAATTTAAGGGACATCATTTAAGGGACATCCATCAATAAGGGACAGCAGCGGGACACGGCGCTGGGATAAGGGACTGTCCCTTCAAATAAGGGACACTTGACAGCTATGGTCCCACCTCTGAGCTGCATATGTTCACCAGTTCGTCATGCAATCAGAGCCTACAAAAAGCAGCGGTTTGTGTACAACAGTGGGGGTGCCAGACTCCACTCGCACAACAGGGCTTCCCCTATTCTCCCCTGAAATCTGCTCCAGAGGATTCCCCAACCTTCCATAGCAATGTCCATGAAGGTTCTTCAGCATTTCGGTGCAAATTGATACTCGTGTTTGTATGTATTTTGACTAATATTCACATTTCCTGACTATAACACACTTTCGTCTCTTATTTTCACTAATATATAAATTTTATGCACAACTCACCGTGGTATATGCATTTTTGCACACATTGCTTGGCTAGAGAACTGCACTTGGAACATGTCCATTAGGTTGGTTCACCTTCAGATGCGGTTTCTCCCTCATCTGTACCCCGAGTCAAAATTGCCATGGACTCCCCTGCTTCCTCCCTTTGTCTCCTCGCAGTGCCCCTCCTGTGCCCCCTTTGCCCTTTGAATGCTCCCTCTCATCCTTCTACGTGCTTCCTGCTCCATTTTTGGTGCCACTTGTGGACTGTTTATCCTGATTAGCTCCACATGACTGCCTGCTTAAAAACCCTAATGAGATGTTGGCTCCCTCCGCTTAGGAAAACCCAGCCGGTTGGGAAGAGGAAGAAAATAGCAGTGTTTAGCCCTGCAGTAATGCAAGCCCATCTTGATTTCAAAGCAAAATGGTCAGGAATGTGGCCTTTAATCAGGGCTCTCTTGGTACACAGATGTAGGGCTTGCCCCTTTGGCTGAAGGATGGGTGCTATGAAATAATGAACATTAGTCAGACCCCAACCAGAAAGCGACTCAGCGGGGGGCGGGCAGTGGACAAGAAGAGATGGGAAGACAGTGGGACTAGATTGGATCTTCCTTAGAAAAATGAAGTCAGAACCAGACTTCAAGGGGACTCATGTACCTTTAAGAGCAGCATAAAAAGTTCTACCAAGTGGAGTTATCCATTCTATGCAATGCTTAAAGGCACAGAAACCTTTTCAGGCTCTGGAACTTGCATCCCTGCTTTAGAAGCACCAGCTATTTTTTCTCAGCAGGCCTTGGCACTATGGTAGTTTTGAGCAAATCAGCATACTAGATCCATTGTTGCATATGCAGACATTTCTTTTGTCCAAGACCCCAGTCCTGTTTCTTAAGCATTCTTCGTTGAAAGATTCCAGGGCCATGCACAAAAGCATGAGTAATTAATTCCTGCAACATATAAATACAGTTTAAAATCCCAACACATAAGCATAACAACATGAAACAAAAGATGACAAAGCTAAAAACAACACAATTTCAAAAGTAATCTACAATCTAAAGTGTCTGAGCTTTGTATGGGCTTTTGAATGGTACGAAAGCTATTTGATTAGAGACAAGTAGTCAGAGGGGTGCTGGAAACAGAGATAGCAACAGAGGTTTATATACAAAGTAGCACTAATTCTCTCGTTCTGTTAGTGAAAGGATTTACACTAGTGCAATGGGGCCTTCCCAGTCTTCCAATTTGGGGAGAGCATGGGATTTGCAAGAGGGGCGGAGAAGGAAAGTTGTGCTGAACTAGCATAAGTCCTCATGCTAACAGGCCAAAGGCACTGGATACCACCCAAAGTTTGCATTTACCCTGGGTGTACAGTAAACACAATGTTCATCTTGTATCTGTATCTGTAATGCTTGGAAGCAGCCTAATCAGTTTCAGATCTGCTCCGTGTCATTCCAACTTGCTTCATTATTTAGCTCCATATCTTATCTGTTAAATCAGCAGCTTAGTTTTACCCCCATTGTCTATAATAGCGGATCTAACAATGGCTATAACTTTTGCGCTTTTCACATAAGTGGATGAAATTTGCAGGCAAAGATTATCCTGCTGAATGGATTAAGCCTGCCAAATTGCAAGTGGGGTTTTGTGCAGGTAGCAGTTT